AAAACAAGGAGCCAGTCACACGATCGGGATACCCGCTACATCCACAGGCTTCCTCACTGCCGCGCGAACAGCCACATGCTTCAAATTGGGCTCATAACAGTGGTTCATAGCGCATCTAGCTTACACCTGCGGAACCTCCAAACCCAAGGCGGGGCAGCCGAAGTGCTACTCAATCTCTCACCTGTGCCTAGAGATTCCACCGGAGGTCTTCCGTGTGTGATCCCACTCTGCGTCGTTTCAAGGCATCAACAGGCACACTGCACGTCTCGAGCCGCAATTGACTTTTTACAGAAGACCATCTGTGCATTACCCTGGTCAGTGGGGCCGGACGCAGGTCGAAATTCAGGTAAAACTGCCGCTTCCCATCCTGCCCCGCCCTCCACGCAGGGCACCCGGCAGCAAGATTGCAAGGCATGTCATCTGTGTGCGACTCTCTGGCTCAGTATTCGAGCTGCTCCCCCAAGCCCAGGTAGACAAGTGCAATGGGGAAGAAAGCCCTCAAACATCCGGCAAAGCCTGAGGAGAAGGTTACCAAGACGCAGAAGAAGCCAGCGGCCGTCCCTAGAACCCAGACACGGCTCCCAGCGCCACGAGTTCAGCAGGCAAAGAGATCGACATCAAGCCACCGGCCACCGTCATCATGCGGCGATGGGGCCAGTCCCGCCACCGGCCCCCCCCGCCACCCACAGCCGGACCCCCGCCACCTATCCTTGGCCCGGCTCTGTCAGGAGCGATCAGGCCTTTGGCCCCGGTGGCCCCTGCGGCAGCACATGGTCCTGTGCGTGCAATCGGGACGGCGGGCCCACCCGCACCAACCCTGTGCCTCCGTCGATGCTCGTGGCAGCGGAAGCAACCTAAATCAGCCTCTTCTCCCTGCCCATGGGGGATCCGCCAGCGCCGCGCCCAAAAGGGCCACCTCCACCACCAGTGGCGGCAACGATACCTACTACGATTGGCACACTGCACCACGGTGGTACAGAGACGGAGGCCAAGTCCCCCTTTTCCCACTGGTATGCCATCAACCACGACGATCGCAACGGTATCATCGGCACCCACACCGATGCCAGTTGTACGGCCCCCTCACCCAGGCCTTGCGGGAATGGCGCCAACGGCACCGCCATCGGCGAGCGTGCCCGGCAGTAGCAGCACGGCTTGCGGATCTTCCTCCAGTGGATCAGGGTCCATCTATGCCCTACCAGGAGAGGCAACTATGGGAGGTGCAAGATCGGAGGCAACAGGCGAGTCACTGCCTGACGCCACTACACCGGGAGCCTGACGCACAGCTATCCTATGGATTGACACACCTCCTCAGTGCTGACAAGCAACACTCCCGTGGCTCTTCTTCACCGAGCACCATGCACAGTCAGCCTTCCCATGCCAGAGCACAAAAACAGTCTCTCCAGCCCGCCAACCTTGCATTAGAGTGGGTTGTCACACCTCGGGATGCTTGTGCAACACATGCCCAAGTCCAGCGTGACATGGTCGGCTACCCAAAATGAAGCCTTCCTGCAGGATGCAGTGAAAAACATCCAGGAGGAGGTTGCCCTGGGTCTCCATCACAGGCCTGCCTTCATGGTGTAATCAGCAATGTCCTGTTGCGCACACAGACAAAACACACACCAGAAGAGCAGGCCCTGCGTACCTTACTGTATCAGGCCCTACTAATGGCACAGAATCGGAAGGTAATCGGCGAGGTAACACACGGTGCTATCACTGCTCTGACGTCGACAACACAATCAACTCGAGATGCGGGGTCCCAGCCACTTCCTGTCGATGACCAAGCAGACCAGCACGGAGATGACAGGACTGCTCCTCAGTCCACGCAGACATGTCAAGTGTCCAGAATGCATGGCGACTCCGCCAAGGCACAAACAACTCGAGAAAAGCGAGGTCAAGGACTAAGTGAGCCACCCGCCGGGATCGAGATAAACATGCACTTTTGCAGTGGAAAAGTGCTCCATGTGGCGGCCTCATGCAGTGAAGGTTGGAGGCCTGTACTGACATCTGCTCAATCCAAAGTTGACATACGGCGAGCCATCTCTTACTGCACCGTCCACAGCCTGCATGCCACCACGCGTGCCCTGTCTGTATTCTGCGCAATCCAGCGGGGGCCCTACTCCGAATCAGTATGGGATATGATGTCCCACAACATGGCAGCACGCTTCCAAGTGATTGAGCCACCGCAGCGCATGACCAAGTCCTTAACGGCATTGGCTCAGGTACAAATCAGGCTAACAGACTGCCCAGTGCCTCCTAGCAGACAGTCCCTCTGTACTTCCCAAATCATGCAATACATCAGGCAAATGGCACTCCCGCAGGAGTGGACGCGAACCGACACTGAAATCATCCCCGCTTATGAGGAAGTCAGCGTCGATAGAAGCCAAGGGCAGCTCGACACCATGCGCTGCCCGATCCTGCTTACCGAAACCGGTGCCAGATACTCCAAGCCCAAGCCTGCAACTGTGCCAGAGCAGGTGATTGAGTATGTGTGGACTAAACAGGAACATGTGCAGGCACTGCGAGAAGGCCTCCTTGTCAATGACAGGCCACGCATTCTAAGACACCTCTTCAGCCTACTGCAGCAGGGGAGCCTCGAGAGGACTGAACACAGGCTACCTGAGACGGCACTGGCAGACCTGCATCCCCAAGAGCTAGAAAGGCTTGCAGCAGGGTGGAAGGCGATCGATGCGCACGCACGCCATTGCGTGGACATCCAGTGCACTGACAACGAGAACAAGGAGAAGCAGTATGGCCCTCAGAATTCAAAAGGTGGCCCGTACAGAGTTAATGTGAAAACATCAGCACTACCTGAGGACCAGGCCCGCCGAGCCAGCAACCAAGGGAGCATAGGCTGCACAATGGGAACAGGTGGCCCGGGGCAGCCCAGCCAAGTGACCTCATGTCCATCTCATGCAGACTGGCCGTGCCTGGATGCATAGACATGAATCTTGTGTCCTCCACTGCACTACACCAGCCGCTTTTTTCATCCTCGACCGACATGCAACTGCACACATCTCAAGCACAAGGGGTGTGCGGTGTGGGCAGCTTTCATCTTTTCAGGGTCTCAGCGTGATACCATGCAGACAAGGATGATGATAGACCCTTACCCACGTCCCCGTCCCCCTGCAATTCTTCTTCCCGACCAGCCTTGCAGGCTGCAGTTTGCAATGGGACACAGCAAGTGCTCCAAGAGAAGGCCGGGCAAAGAACAGAGAGCGGCGGCTAAGGAGGCGGCGGAGCTCGAGGCCTTGGCAAGGGACACTTCCACCAATGACACAGGTGCAAATGGGTCCAAGCCCAGCCACCTACCCGCAAGAAGGACCTGCCATCTCGGCATCGATAGGCCAGGGAGCACCAGGTCGGCGGATATGCCAGCTGGGGCATCGCGAGAGCACGAGGCAATGCATCATCCAGACCGAGCGGCATCCAGTCAGCCAACCGAAATGCTACCCGCGCAGTCGACTGCGCACCAGCATGTCTTATGGGAAGGAAGGCCGAACAGGCGGGATACCGGCTGGACTGCTTCGGATCAGTCGATCCTGGTCGACGAACGCGAGGTGCCGCACGATGGAGGAAAAGAGGAGGCTGGGCTTCCATTACAACACGTGCCACAGCGGGACAATGAGCCAACCCTTGATGAGGAGCCGGGCCACCAGAGCCACGAGAACATTGAGACCGTCTTCATCACAGAGACTGGCGACATGCCGAACTCCCCAGTGCTTTCGCCCGTCACGCCTCCGGGCGACTTGGTCGAGCAGGAGATAGAATCAGCAGAGTTCCCCTCAGACCATTACGCCCAGCGTGTCGGGAAAAGGTGCGCAGCCCAAAGAGCGAGCCCGACAAACCTCTCCAAATCCTTGCGTGAAATTTTTGGATTACGCTGAAGATCTTGAACCATCCCCAAAAGTTTTAACCGTTTCTCCTCTGCAAGCGAAACTACCCCGGAGGTGTAACAAAAACACCACCCTATCCAATGAACTCGAGAGCTGACTTGAAGTTTCTTCCAACTCAAAGGTACCCCCAGAACCTGGAGGAAGAGGCAGATCATTGCCCCTGTTGCTGGCAGGACGCCTTCCGCCTGAGAAAACAAGTAGTCGTCCACAAACAAGTGGCCTGCATGGCTGAACCAAATCAAGATATGTAACAACCGAAGGAGGCAGGAGCCTAAGCGCCCCCACCAATGCTGTGCAAAGACCGCCCCGAATGGGGCCACGCGATAGAAGTACAGGGAATCTGCAAAAGCGAAACCTAGGAGACCCTGCTCTGACTCCTTGACAACACAGCGTTTGTGAGCACTTTTGACGTCAAGAGATATGGCAGCTTGCCGCGAGCGAGTGCCCCGAAGGGGAAAACAGTGCATCACGTCCCTCACTGATGGCATGTGCTGGACTTCCGCAACGCTGCAACTTGCATTCGTGCCACAAACTGAGTTATCTAAGACCAACCTTTCCGATCGATTTGGCGCACGGACCACTGATAACTTCCCTATCGCCAGTGCACCCGGCCATTTTGCTTTAGCTGCTTCAATATCGCCATCAAACTTGAAGCAAAAACCCTGATCAATTTCCTCCTGCAGCAAAGCCTGAGTCACTGACGGATCAACTGAGGCCGAGCGCCAATTCTGCATGTGGATGGAAAGTGATACATCCTCCAAGTTCTCCTTCTGATTCGGCCAAAAACAATTTGACACCGGGATATCGTTGTTATACCCTGTGGGGACGCCTTGCAAAAGGGATGTGCAAAGACTCACATCCGGATCACCACAAAAACAGGCAAGTGCCTCAAGCGCATGCAGATGCAAAGGTTGATGCTCACGGACCTCCCATGTATTTGCATCCGTCGCCACACCTAGGCAGGAGAAGAAGTCTTTGCGCGCATCTTGCACCTCCAACTCGGAGAAAAGGGGCTCAGGATTAGGCCAAGTGGCTTTAGCAAGCAGGCGTTTGGGGCCTTGCATGTCGCAAACTTTCCCCAAAAGGTATGTCCTAAGATTTTTTAGCTTATCCTGGCTTAATGGAGTGCTCCAATCCCCACAAGAGTGGCGACCTGCCCCATCGTGGATCACCCACGGTCCAACGTCCAGGGCCTTGACAGGTACCAACGCCGACGCTGTGGCAAGGGTGTGTTCGATCTGTGCACCTGCAAGAAGCGGCCTGATGTGCAACGCGAATTCGGCAGCCAGGCATTCAGGGTACTTAGCAGTCTTACGGCTTCTGAACGAACCATCACTCTCACGTCCTTGCACGGACTCGTGAGCATTGCGTCCGTGTTGACACGTCTGCCCCATCACCGAGAGGGCTTGAAAGCTCGATGCAAACAGCCAAGTTTTTGCCCAGTTCTCCCCAAATGCACAGGCTGGGAGAACAATGAGAGCTGTGGACCCACAATGCAACCAGCCTTGAACGCAGGCTTCATCCCAGGACATGGCACCTGATGGTTGCTCCAAATGGCCATGGCCCCCGGCCCCATGGACTACTTGAAGACATTTGCATGCCCTGAAAAGCATCTCGTGACTTGTTTGTATACGAGCCTGAGCTGATGGGTGCAAATTCTCCAGGCCCCCTAGCTGGGTTGGGGTGCGGATGGCAAAAGGCGGACCTCCAAAGAGCTTCAGTCGGGAGTATTCTGAGCAGCAGGGAGATGCCGCACAATACCCCACAACCCCTGAGCCACAGATGAACAACAGTTGCTCGAAAAAAGTATTATCGAGAATGTCCATGCTGCTATCCAACAGGATATCAACTGCCAGTGTTGGGAAACCTAACTCCTGCACAGCTGATGACAGAGGCTTCTCCGCACCCGAACAAATGTCCAGAAAGATCCTTGAAGACTGCTGCAGCGCTGAGTGATTTAGGACAGGCGAAGATGGTGGTGGCCGAGGCGTTTGGGGCTGCAGGATCAAGCTGTGGTTAACAAACCCCTTTGGAGAAGGTTTTCCCCAATTGACCCCCGAAGAAGGAAGTGGCTCCTGGGTGGGGGGGCAATTTACAGGTTTAGGGGTCGGTGCCGGGGGGATGTTCCGTGGCTGGGGCCAAGGGAATCCCAGATCTCGAAGTGTATCGCCTGACACACCTGGGAGGGTAAAGGCCGTCAGCACCCAGCGATCACCAAGCCATGGTTGGGCGCAATGCCATAGGTGCACCGGGAACTTAAATGGCTCATGATGCGTTCTGACGATCTTCCCCATGAGAGTCACCCCAAGCTTGGGAATGAACTGAGGCACAGTGCCTGCTTGATCCTCTATCCAAAGACCTCCATCCGAGTACGAACCTATACCCACTGTCAAGTTTGACGACCCCGGCAAATTTGCTGTGTCTTTGTGCGGGGACGTCAGGATATTCCTGCTGACACACAAGGCATTCCAGGTCTCACCTGGGAACAGTTGGCACAGGAAACCATTAAGGCTTGCACACAATTTTGGAAGTGCATCTGTAACTGAAGAGCGGGCAGAAGGATTACCTATGCGCACCCCAAAGTTCCAGTAGCCCGATTCCCCCGGAGCCGCTGAAGTAACGCTCCTGGCGGGAAGAACGCGTGGAGGCCAAGAGGCCGACAGTAACGCCTGAAGACAGGACTGGAAGTCGTGTATGCATGAAGAACTTTCTTCTGCAACGTGTGTAACACCCACCTGCCCGGGTGTTACTGCATCACTGGAACGACCAGGTGTGTTGCTTACGACATGACCCAACACGGGTTGCGAAGGAATGTTGCCCGGTTGCCCCGAGGACATTGCATTGCTGGCGACGACACAGGCCCAGCATTTCGCTCCAACAAGGAGGCCGATTTGGGAGCATGTACGGGCTCGGATGGCCGAGCTGCAGGCTGGATATCATATCCAGCGACACGGCTTGCACCTGCCTGGTGCTTTGCTGCATGAGGCTGTGATGGTGATACTGACATACAAGGCGATGAAGGGTTTGAATGAACCGGCTCAGCATGAGCGTGCAAAGAAAGCGGGGCATCTGGGGGCGATACTTCTGTAGACGGCATATCTGAATTCGGGGATTTCTGCAACGGCCCAGGGATTGGGGCGAATCAGTGAGGCGTCTGCTCATGCTGCGAGGCTGTGTGCGACTTGCTCCCGCACGCTGATCCATCCTGCTTGGGGTATGCACATGCATGAACAAAGGGGCAGGAGCCCCCCCTTGTGCAACAATCTGCCACTGGACACACAACCCTTCTTCTCGGATCCTACCTGGATTTCTTTCACGAAGGTGATGTGCCTCCCTGGAGCGCCCTTGGGCTTACCGCCCTTGTCCTTGCCACGGCCCTTGCCCAGGCCTTTCCACTGACCAACCTGCTTGCCCTTGCCTTTCAGATCAGGGCAGCGGGGGATGAACAAGGCTTTCGGACGAGCCTGCAACAAGGTGCTGAGCTCACCTCTAATTTCTGTGAACTCATGCAACGCGTCATTCAAGCTCCAGGCTTTCTCACTGACCAAAGAGTGGATGCTCTGCCAAATCCGACAATCTGCCTGTTGCGCTTCTAGAATTGTCGGTGCACGCAGTCCTGATGCTGGGTCGAAACGCTGGGACACGAGCTGGACAAACTTGCAGCTATAGGCCTTGAGGCGGGCAAGGTGAGCTGAGCCAACCATGGCTAATGCAACGTCATGCACTGCCAAGATCCGCTGGATACCACTGATCCCCATATTGGCATCGGTCACTTCGATTGTAGGCGGATCATCTAGGAGCAAGCTGGAAAGACCCAGCATTTCGAGCTTGGGCTGTTTGTGGGGTCGGGCAATCAACAACTCCGAAGCTTTCTCTTCCGTCATGCGATGTTTCCAAGCTATCCATTTATACTCCGACCGTGCCTCTTGATGGGCTGCGAGGGAAATCAGCCTCAAAGAGGGTAGAGTAGATGGATTCAAGACCTCACTTGGGTAATTTGCAAGGAATTGGCGCTTCATGTCGGACAGCTTCGTGGATGCAAGTTTGGGAGCAAAACTCTCTACCCATGTCTCCAAAGTAGGATCTGCATTGACTGGGGCCGGCGAAACACTAGAGGAGCTGGATGCTTGCATGCCCGCCCACGCTGCTTTGATTTGGGCAATCTGCAACCGGGACAAAACCTGACCTGGGAAGATCTCGGGGATGGCTCCCTCAACTTCTGCCTGGGTTCTACCCGACCCCTATTTCTAAGCACCAGCAAGCTAAGATAAAACCTGCAGAGCTCTCGCACAAGTCCCTTTCTTTTTGACGAGTGGTGGCGGGCAGCAAGAATCTGGAATCAAGATGAAAGCTAAATATGCAAGCTGAAGCTGAAGGTGTCGAGTGCCAACCCCCCCCCCCAACCGAAGGGAAACGAACCGGGAAAGAAGGACCACAGCGTAAAGCGAAGGCAAAGCTTAAAGCTAAAATACAGAACCCAAGGGAGGGAGAGGTGGGTGCTTTGAACTGGACACCAAGCGCATGACATGTTCGAGCAGCTGGTGCTAAGAAATAGGAAGCAAAGATACCCCAAAGTGCATGAAAAGGCGTCGTGTAAAACATCTGTGAGTAAACACACGAACAGTTCTACCCGACCCCTATTTCTAAGCACCAGCAAGCTAAGATAAAACCTGCAGAGCTCTCGCACAAGTCCCTTTCTTTTTGACGAGTGGTGGCGGGCAGCAAGAATCTGGAATCAAGATGAAAGCTAAATATGCAAGCTGAAGCTGAAGGTGTCGAGTGCCAACCCCAAAAGTGTAACTGCCACCACAAGTCAGAAAGAGCAGACGCTAAACATTCAACCCAACCACTGAAGTGTCCTTCCATCCACCGTGACAGATGATCAGCAATAGTGTTTTCGAAACCAGCAACGTGATGAACATCCAGAGAAATGCCAGTATGCCAAGAAAGAAGCGAAAGCTTTTGCGCAAAGAAAGCCAGGGGAAGAGATGTGCAGAACAACTTGTTCGATGTAGATTCCGCCCCAGTATTGTCACACCAAGAAGGTACACAGATCTTAAGTCGTCCGCCAGGAAAGCATGAAGCCAAAAGAAGAACAAGCCCCATTTGGGCCAAAGTCTCCCAGCACGTGATGGCCTCTTGTGCAACTGACGGTAGATCAGAGATCAGTTTCTGAAGAGAACGAAGGCTGAATACCTCAGAAAACCACACTGCAGGTGCATCGCCCATCTTGATGAAACCGCCAATCCCAATCTTGTTGCCAGAAGCGCAGGCATCTGCAGCGAAAGCGTCTGGGAGCCAGCGAGGCGGCATAGCCAGGGGGCGAGAAAAGAAAGGCATCTGCGCCCATTGCTGCCAGTATCGCAGGAAGACCTTTGATTGGTGCGAAAGTCGACGCTTGGATGACGCAGGATTGGTTATGCGAAGCCAGATACGCTTTGGTGAAATACCAACACGTCGTAGATCTGCTTTGCTGCGCAAGGCCTGATGTTTCACCGAAAGGAGACGACCACCCAGAGGGAGCGCCGCGCCAGGTAACTGCCGCTGGATCAGAAGGTCATCTGAAATGCATGAAATGAACTCAATTCACTGTGAAGGCTCCACGGAGTATGAAGTTGCAACTGGACGACGCATGTCATCGTACAAACATGACAACCAAGGCTTAAGCAGTTTGTGCATCTGGAAAACCCACTGCAAATAACCGGCAACGATCTCCAATTCATGCCGCGTAGTGAACTCGCCTTTGAGCAGTGTCGACAGCATTGTACGCAATTTCTCGAGCTTCTCGTATGGCAGATGAAAGGAGTGTGAGCGCAGGTTAAACGACCAGCCTATCCAAACCACACGTGCACCAAACTGTAATTTGGCCCACGAGAGAGGAATATTGAAGCACTGGCACACAGAAATGATCATCGATGACGTCAAAGCTGCCACTTCGCAAGGTTGAACCATGTAAAAATCATCCACTCAGCAAACGCAGAAACCTTATGAAGAAAGCTGAAAGCCTAGCCCACCAAAAGGCTGAAAACGCTGCACCGGAAGGGCAGCATTTATATGCAAAGCAGATGGATGCCAGCTGCAGCATATTGAGACCCCACTCTTCAGGGTGTATTCGTATTGTTTTGTGTGCCCCCTTGATGTCCATAGCAAATGCCAGAAAATCTGTATCATCTCCCCTGAGGGGCCATGATGCGCGAATATCCTGCAGAGACGGCATCATGTAGCGCTCCGGAATGTAGCAACCAGCATTTGTATTGGATATAGAACTGTCCATGATCAAGCGAGGAGCTTTAGGATGCTTGACAATGTTGCACTTGCCCACGGCAGTGAGATTCGGCCAACGTGACTGCGCCGTCTCCAGTGAACCAACCTCTTCCAAGAAGCCAGCAGCCACCTCCTGCTCAATGAGATCACGGAACAACTCCGGATCCTTTTCTGCCTCACTCCAGTTACCAGTGCAGGATCGAAGTCGTTTGACTCTAGCGGAATCAGAACCCCAGACACAGGTATATTGCGACGGTACCCTGTCGGCACCCCCTCATGCAAGCATGGCCATAGCGACACATCTTTATCAGAAATGAAGGATGCCACAGCCTCCAAAGCTGACAGAGAATAAGGCTGCCCAGCCGAAACTTGCCAATCCAAACCAGAAGATGGTGCCAAAACCGCATCCCAAATTGCACGCAATTCGAAAACCTCCTCTGAAGTGAACAGCGGGGAGTTTGTATTATTTGCCACATGCTCCCGGAGGCGTTGTGGAGCACGAAGCTGCAAAAGCTTTGCATGCAGCTTGTGGCGTACTTCACGTAGGACATCATTCTTTCCTGGCTGTGGCGAGGACCAATCTGGCATGCTAAAGATCCCCCCCCCATCCTGGGTAGCACATGGAAAGGAAGCTGACATAGGTTTGCGTGGAAGCAGCTGCATACATTCCTGCAAGACAACGAAGTGTGCGTCTGGCAGCGGCGTAAATAAAGGAAGAACTTGCTGGGCGAAGGCGTTGGCCAAACTTTCCGGGTACGCGGCAGTCAAGCGAGACAGATGCTGCCCAGTCTCATCTTGACGCCCCAGATCTGTGCGTGTGCATCCTTCCCATGTGGGCAAACGCCAGCCAGGCTCTGAAGTGATCGAAGAGATGTCGCAAACGCCCAGTGCTTAAACCAATCCTGCTGCCACTGGCAAGCGGACGTGACGACCACATCAGCTGCCACAGAGTTTAGGTAGAACTGAGCCTCCTTCAAAAGCCAAAGCATAGAGTTCCTGGGATGCTCAAGACTGGTTTGGCCACCGGACTCAAACACTGCCAGCAGCAAAGATATGCAACGGGTTGCCAACGTAAAGCTGGTATGCAATCGTTCGGACTCTGCCTCAGTAAGATCAGACCTGCCATAAGGCTCATCTGGAGTGCGGATAGCCCGAGGCCCACCGTCTTCTCGAAGCTTAACCAGCGAAAACTCGCCACAGGGTGGACTAGCATGTGCCAATTTAAAGACACCATTGTGAGCCAAGGCCAGAAGTATATCAAAAGTCTCATCGTGAAGAAGGTCCAAACCTTCTCCAAAAAGTGGATCAACTGCAAGACAAGGAATACCCAGCGCACGTACCGCCGTGGAGAAAGGAGCCGAAGAGCCACAGCAGAGGTCCAGGAAAAGCTTTGTATCTGACGCCAAAGGCACTAGCGATGGCGATGGTGAAAGTGCCGCCGAAGATGTGGTCTCAGCCCCAGGGAATGGAAAAGATAGCGACTGCAGCTGCAATAATTCTTCGGATGACGCAGATTGGAAAACTTGCGGGGTGTACGCGATTAGCACCCATCGATCTCCAACCCACTCAGAAGAACCATGAAGAAGACGTGGGTTAAAAGAAAAAGGCTTTTCGTGAATGTTCACCAGGCCGCCGGAGCAATCCACGGACTGGGAAGATGGGGGAGGTGCGGGCTGTTCCAATGCACCCTCCAACCAAAGAAGGCCACCGACATGTTGGCCCAGAGAAAGCACATGGTTTTCAGAGCCGTACAAATTCCCTGAATCACTGTGTAGCTTTGCAAAAGAGTTATGGGACACGCAAACCGAAGCCCAACTCTTCCCAGGGAAAGCTCGCCTCAAACAAAGGTTGATGAAAGAGACAAGCTCTGGAAAATCCCAAGTCAGATTGCAAATGCCGACCTGTGTCCCTGAGCGGTATCCAAAGTTGAGATAAGCTGAAGAGTCTGTGGACTGAACCACATCTCGAAAAGTTCAAATCGCCCAAAAATGCCACCAAGACCGAAAGTAATGCCGCAAAAGAAAAGTCGCTTGCACCAGGAAATTGGCCAGCAGATCCTTAGGATTGCTGCTCGAAGGTAGAGCCGCCCCTGCAAGAATGTCGCCTGTACACAAGAGTTGTGAGGACTTTGAAGGAGCTGAAGCCACATCACATGATAGTCAGTGAGGAGTTGCCCGGTGCTGAGTTGCACTATGCTTCCCACCGCAAGGGGCGCCGTCCTGCTTGGCAACACAGCAAACATGGAGAAACTTGCAAGCGGGTCGCTGGCACCCTGAAGGCAGATTGTACTGAACACAAATCTTCTGGACCTCGCTGTTGCGCACGATCTCTGTTGCCCAGGGTGTGCGTTCCTTGCCTGAAAAAGCTTCTTTAAGGCCAAACCCCCTACCCTTACCCTTAGGTTTGCCGGGAGGCTTGCCCTTGAACCCGCCCTTGCCCCGAGAAGGCTCAAACTTCGGAATCCAAGGACGAGCTTGAAGCATTGAGGACAGCTCGTTTCGGACCTCCACAACTTCAGAGATCGCGTCGTCAAGCTGCCAGCCATGAGCAAGCAAATCACCAATCACTTCCCAAGCTCGACGATCTGCATTCATCGCCTCCTGAACATTGACAGAGCGCAAGCCAGAGCCATTCTCGAAGCGCTGCAAGGCCAACTTCAAGAAACGCTTCTCATAGAGGCGAAGGACGCCAAGATGCGCACCTTCCACCAGGGCTATGGCATTGGAGTGAATTGAGAGCACAGAACGAAGGATGCCTTCTGATGCTGGGTTGTTGCCATGTGGAAGGTCCCGGACAGGCACTTCGTCCACGAAAAGATTGTCAAGCTTAGGCAGCTTACTCGGCCGTTGAAGCTGGGAGGCGTCAAGCTGAGCTTGGCTCATACGCCAAGCCCAAGGAATCCACTGCCACTCCTTGTTTTTGACATAACGATGTGCCAAAGCTAAAAGCCGTGAACTCGGCATCGATTCACTGTCCAGTATTTCGGAAGGATAAGACTTCTCGAAGCGATCCCGAAAAGAGCGTACAACGGCAGCATCCAGCTTGGGTGGAAAAGTCTCCGCCCACGTACTTGTCGAGGAAGTAGTGGACAGTGGTTGCGTTGCATTCACCGCAGGATTTTCGGCTGGTACTTCAGGTGCAGAGCAGTGCTGCCAAAGACGACGAATCTTGGCACGAACCACGAACTCATCTTCGCTACAAGAAGCCAATTCCAAAGAAGCAAGGAAGCGATTCAAGTCTGTAAGATCTGTAGCCACAAGCCCGAAAAGCTTGGGCGTAAAGTTGCCAATCACAGCGTGGAGCTCCGACGGGATATCGAAAGAAGCCAGAAGAGCTGGCATGTCATCCTCGACCACATCGAAACCTAGACTTGTTGCCAATGAAGCCATGCAGGGCACTGATTGCAATGAAGCACCAAAGCCTATGCGCGCAGAGCCGCACCCAAACGGAGGGTTCAGAAGGTTTGCTGAAGCGCCTCTTGTTGCAGAGGAAGCGGAAGCGATCACTCAAACGCAAAACGCGCACATGCACATAGGGAGCTATTGCAGACCCGAAAGTTTGTACCAATCATTGGAGCCTAAGAGAACAAAGGAACCACAAGAGGAGATACCATCAACCTATGCAACATGCAGCAAATGTACGCAAGAAAGTTACCTCAAGGGAAACTATCTGCAAGGCTGAGAGCAGAGGCCCAATTGGCCAAGCGTGTTTCTGGGACGAAACAGGGAAGCTTGTGCTGAGGTACCTGCACCCCGCTCTGAAGAAGCTTGACGCATGCATGCTATCCTCGCGCACGCATCCCTCACATGTGCTTCCCCGACTGAAAAAGCTGAAAACTTTTCACACGAGTGAACACAGCTGCAGCGGCACACTCAAGGAATCACAGCATGACCACATGGTGCAATGGGCAAAACAGTTTCACTACAGTTGCAATGAGATATCGCAATCAAATCAAACTCGTAATCACCCCGCCAAAGGATGTTTCGAGAACGCGGAGTTCAAACATGCTTTCATTACGACAAGCCAAAAGACTGTACAAAGCCCAAAGCACACATGCGACCAACAAGCTGCAACCCTCAGTGCACAAACGATCTGACATGCTCCTCAGCCGTGCGCGGACGTACCGCAGTCCAAGGCTCCTGCCGTTTTGACAGTTCTTTACACAAGCACCTAAAGTGCACCTGGCTACAACTGACCTCTATCCTTGGGCACCTCAGGCAGATCTGGAGTCTGCCACACAACACACCCGGATGGTGTGGATTGTGTTTCTTATCTCAACTCACAAGACGTCTCAAGTGAGACCCAAGGTGGCGGCCTGTCTCCGAGAGCGGCCCCTTCAAGGTCCACCAGCAGCATGAGCAAACAGTCAGGCAATCGTTGCTGTGTCATCACGACTAAGCACTGTCCTTTAAGGACAACATCTCAAGAAAGGATGCCATGCACAAACACGAAGTGGTACCAGTCCGTAACTGCTTCCACAGGCAATGGTCAAGTCTCAAGAGAGGTGCTTTCGCAGCATAAATTCTGGTTCCTTCAAATGCATGCAAACAAATCGTGGTCGGAACAAACATTGGGCTCATTCAAGTATCATCGTGTCCTTCAGGCTCAGGCAGGATTTGCAGTTGCGGATGAACCTGCCCCTGATTCTGATTGGTCACAGTGATGAATGTGAACATGGTGGTCAGTCGTGGAATGTCTCCCAAATGCGCGAGGTGTCGCACCCAGGCTTGGCACAGTACGCAGAGGCCGAACCTTCCTGGGTGCTCATCTTGCAAGTCACCATACAGCGTCATCTGAACGATCCTTGCATTCCGCAAACCATCACAGTCATATCTCATGTGGAATCTTGTCCCACGGTGCGGTGCGAACCAAACCGGTGCTTCCCGTCTGACTTGAAGAATGTCATCTGGTCCAAGTTCACGGTGCATCCATGCGGGTGCAATGGCTGCTGGAGGTTCATGGGCACCCTCAAGGTCCTCCGGTTCCTCATCAGGCTGCGCTGCTGCATCTGACGATCCATCGTCAGAGTCATCATGAGCATCGACTAGGGCAAGTGGCTGGTGGTTCTCTGGAATTGTGGCGAAACCCACTATCCTAAGGAACCGACTACCTATGTCCCCAACCCAGGCACCTAGATTGGCAACCGCCTGTCTACAACCGCCTCTAAGTCCTAGACCCGCCTGATGAGACCTTGTCATGAATGCCAACGTGGCACACAAGACCACAAGAGTGATCACGGCACGAACATCAACGCTCACTGTCACGACGTACCAGTTCTCATGTGGCTCTAGTGGTTGACTCAAACTGCGTCCTTCCGTAGCCCCACTCGACACCACTTGCAGGAGAAGTGCAATCACCTTCAAGGCATCACCATGACCCTGGTTCAAACGTCGTGTGACACGCATGAACTGCTTCACCTCCTGCTGTCGCTGATGTTCACGGAACTCAGCAGCTCCTACTCGATCGAAACCCTCGGCTTCTGATCTGATGCCAAAGCAATGGCACAAGAATTTGGTTCTGCTTGATGACAACGCCTTTGTCATCAAATCAGCAGGATTGATCGTAGTGCCAATCGCGTGCAACGTTGCCTTGCGGTGCAAACATATGTGGTCCTGCAACCACAGCACGCGTCCTTCAACATGCCGAAGCCGTCCACATCCCTTCCGCGAGACTATTCCTCGCGCCGCACTGGAGTCAGTGAAGATGTGGGTCTCCAATGGTTCTCCCATTACGTGCCTCAAGGCCGTCTCGATCAGGATCGCGTCGCAGGTTCCAGACACCATGGCAATGTAGTCAGCTTCCCCGCTAGAAAGCGCAACGCATGCCTGCGATCTAGAGAAGGAGTACACCGGAGCACCATTCAACATCAAGCATCCGGCTGATGTGCTCCGACGAGTGGACTTGTTTCCACTCCAATCGGAGTCACAGAACACCTCAAGGACGTGAGCATCCCTGTCTCGGACGACATATCCGTTCCCTTTTCCGCAACTCTCAAGGCTCCAGACGTAATCGGCATGGTTGTAAAGGTAGTTGGCAAGGTGCCTCAAACACTGCCACGCTCCCTTGTTCGGCTTCCCACACACGCTTGAGAGTGTTTTCACTGCGAACTGTGCAAACGGCAGATCCGGCGCCACAGAGAGAAGGATGCCAATGGCTTTGCGGTATAGGGCTGAGGATGTTTGGTCAAGCGGCTCGAGCTTGCTCCAGAGCGGCAGTGTGCCCCCAACGGGTAGAGGAGTCTCCTTCGGTTTCTGGCTCACCACTCCAAGCATTGTCGCCAACGTGGTCACGTGTTTAGGGTTCGGGTATATGCCCAGGACACCCTGAGCCAGCCAAACATGTCGCCGCTTCAGAAACTCAACCTCTTGACCAATGCCCTTCAGGCGATGAACAGTACATCGGTACTTTCCTCGGATGCATGCTTCCAAGCGGTCCAAACATGCACTGTGTCCCACCGCAAACACATCATCTACATGACATAGTCCGCCTCCAGTTTCATCTGCCCCGCCATCTGACTCAGCTGGCGCTGGGATCCTGAAAAGCGCAGGTGCCTCGATGAGAGGCTCGATGGAGAGGCCTTGGGAGAGATGTTCTTGGAAAGAGTCGAACCAGTCCTTCGCCCCTGGCCGCTGCCCCGGGAGATTCCGCAAGAGCTGGTAGTACTTTCGTTCGGTTCCAACATCAACCGACACCACTGTCTTGACACGCTGTGGCACTGTCAGATATGCATCTGTGATATCTAGCGCTAGAGCCTCCCAGGGCTCTCCTTGTTTCTGCTTTGTCACAAGCACTGCAGGCAGCAGTTTCAAGAGAACGCTGGCACTAGCTGGTGCAAAGATATCGCTGTCGGCCATATTGGTCATCCACTTAAAATCTCTCGCGACAAACCTAGCCCGTCGGAGAAAGGCCTGTCCTTGGCCTTCTGGCGCAGCTTTGATCCTCCAGCCCTTGACCATCTTCGTCGATAGCCACCTGAAGTCATCAAGGTTTGTGCTAGCAGGATCCAAAGGCAAAAGGACTCCCATCTGGACAAGGCGTTCAAGTTCGAATGATTCAGCTATCATGTCAACATGGGCCTGTTCCTCTGCTGACAGCATTGGCTCATGATCACTGAAAGGTCGCCACAGCTCATTGGGGATTTGACCAGTTGCGCTTGACACGCTCTGGTCAGGGACAGACTGTGGCATCTCATCTTCTAGTGACCTGACTGACGAGTCGCTCTCTGAACCATCTTCGATGCCTAGATCCTCGAACTTGACGACCTCATCGTTGTGCACTAGGTTCATGATCCTCTGACGCTTAGGACTGGACTCGGGCAACGTGGACGAACGCTCTGGAAGTGCAGCAGGCATATGCTCACCACTAACACCAACCAGCTCTGGCAGCATTGCTTCTGGGGTACCCGGTGCACTAGGGTCGAGACCTAAACCCCCTAAACCTGGGTTCGGGCCTAAATGCTGCTCAACACGTGGCTGGTCTTCACAAACCATGGTGCCTGGTGGAGGTGCACGACTTGGCCGCGGGTGTGCCCGGCTGGGCTTTGGTACAGGGATTGCAAGCTTAGGCAACACATTCTCTGGTGTGGGCGGTGAAAGAGGGAATTGCACGGACGAAGGACCAGGCGCGATGTCCTCCTGACCAGGGCTGATCACATCAGCCTCATTGCTTGAGACATCGCTCCCAGCAATGTCACTCTCCTGATCCTCTGTCGCCTCAACCTGCTTTGCTTGGACTTGTTTCCTAGAACTGCCAACCTTTCCTGCAAGGAATGAGGCGTGCTTGTCAGGATTGTCGCGCAAGGCTGCGACAAGCGTGGGGTCATATGCAGTGGCGGTCCTTCTGATGGACCTGGCCATCACCAGTCGACCTGCAGAGGTGCAAACAATGTGGCAGTCCGAAATGTCACTTTCCCCAACCACAAAGATTTAAACCACCTAGGCTTACCCTTAGTTGCAGACCTTATCCTGGCAAGGACGTACTCCCCATACCGGACAAGCTTCCCGGTGTACGGTGTTTGATGCAAACGCTCCCACGCGGTCAATGCCTGCATGACATTGAAACGCTGCAACAACCAGCCGGAATGCCTCCAGCACCAAGCATGCAGTGGATGTAACGTGCCTATCGTCACACCTGACTTCTGTTCAAACTCACTCAGCAGGGTCCCAACATGTTGTCTGATCTTCTCGATTGCACCTTCAGCAGTGCATGCGTGATGTTCGCCGGCAGGTGTGTTCTCAACATGTGTCTGCATCCCTATGCGGCTTCGCAGTGTGCTCACAGCCTCGGCCAAACTATTGCATGACGGTTCTGGGTCACACCTCAGAGTGACGGACCGGTGCCCCAGATACGACAGCAAACGTGTGATTTCTAAAGCCATGTAGTTTCTGGC